CCCCAAAACCCCAAAACCCCAAAACCCCAGCCATGAGTGGCTGGATTGAATCTAATTTTAGCAGAGATTTTAAAGGAAAATGGTGCAAAAGAGATTAAAACGATGTGCAATGAGATTAAATAAGGTGAAGGAGTAGCAATAGGGATACGTAGCCAGGTTTTGGGATTAATGTTTGTGTTTACAATTTGGACAAGTACGGTGCCCTCTATCAAACCAATTCTGAATTCATTCTTTATGAAATAAATGTGCTCATGAGAGAGCAAAGAATCTGTGATCTTTTTCCATTTCCTCCAATCAAATTGAGCATTTTAATCCAGTCTCTAATATAGTTTATACTTTGACTCAGAATAAAAATTAAGCGAAAGAAAATTTAAAATTACAGAATTTAAACAAGTTTCTACTTCCAGAAATAATAACTTACTTTTTAAAGCATCAATATCTTCTTGTAACATGTTCTGGATCGACTTCCTATCATATGTAATACTATCTCTTCAGTCGTATGATTCCTCATCACTATTTTTCATATTGTTTTCTTCCCTTCTTCTTATTTCTTCGAGATTCCTTCTGAACATATCCATCTGATTCATAAAACATTGATTCCCGTCAGCTTTTCTTCTACGCTTCGATGGATCCTTAATATTATTCATTTGGACAGGAGGAAAAACTCCTTCCTCTTCAAGGACTACTGGTATAATTTGGGTCTCTTTTCTTTCTTCATTAAATCGAACCGGCTCCCTTAAATCTTCCCTGCTTTGAGCATGTTCATTTATGTCCTGTTGGTCACATTCAGAAGCATCAGTCTCAATCCATTGCTTCTTTATCCGTCTGAGGAAAACCAAGATTCATAGAAAAGGACAAATGATTATGATGAAAATATACTGAACAACAATAATGATTAAGAGATTGATGATAAGCAGGTACCATTGTAAGGGATTAAACAGAACAATCTTTCTCCAGATCTTCACGCCATAGAATTTATAATGATATGGGTTAAATCAAGAATAAAGCAGATATATGAAGATTCCGTAAGATAGCCAATAGTATAACCCCCGTTTTTAAGATCATCGTTGAATAAAATTGAGTCGTCTGGATCAAATTATGCTTAAATAAGCAAGTTAATAATACTAGCCTAGGGATAAATTCTATCCTACTGGCTGTAAAAGTTTTGATGGTGCCGTAAATGATCCAAGAAAGCAAGGAAAGACTTTTGGATGATTACAAATCCCTTCATGTAGATGCCTTTTCCTTCACACAAAGATATTTCTGGATATATCTAATGCTATTTATATTTTCTCCAATATCCAAAAGGCTGTGATTCATCAAGGCTTACAAGCCTCAGTTTGGTTCCTATCATAGATAACTTTTTACATAGAAGAAAAATATAATTTCTAAACTGACTTTGACACCTTTCGATAGAAGAGGTGTCATGCAAGCTAAAGAAAGACTGATCTCTGTGTTCAAAAGCAAGAATTCCGTAAATTCTAATTGGAATTTTTCAGGAAAAAATCCTGTTTGAAGTCCTGATATTTTATTGGAAAATCGACCTTTCTTAAAGACAAAGTGACATCAAGTGGCGACAAAGTGATGCCACTTCTCCGTTGGAATACTAGATCCTGATTTATCTAATCCATTATAATTAATTTTTATAACTCAATGGCAAACTTTAGTTTAGGGGTTTTGGGGTTTTGGGGTTTTGGGG